ATATGAGCCTGCGTTACGTTTGACCATAATAAAACTCGACCGAATAAGTCTTGTTGGTGACCATAGTTCCTCGACCAAAAGCCCAATGCAGGTTTAGAGGCCTAAGCGGACTCTGGCAGAAACCCCGACCGCTGTAACAACTTGTGCTAATGTAGACTGTGGGATATCTGATTCGCTACGATCTACCGGCGGCTTTCCTGAGTCGTTTCAGACAGTATTAAGATAAGTTATATTAATGATGCTGGCTAATGTAAAATAGAAACTCCTCATAGGGGATCTGACACTATATAAGGAATGATTCCACATGGAAGTTTAGTGCATAGGCTAAAGTTTGGCGACCTTGTAGGCTAAGGCATGGAAATGTGTCGATGTCAGCTTTCAGCGCGTCGAACCCAACTACTAAAGCATCCCCTGAAAATGTTCAACGGGCTGGACTCCATCCACCCCTAAGGAACTCCTACCCCTACCCAAACAACCTCTCCCTCCTCATCCCCAACGAACTCACCACCCCAACAGCCCCAGCAACCAACGGAATAATAAATGCCCTCGCCATCGCATTCGTAATCGCTTTAATAGCCCGTTCCCTCAATTCCCCACTCAAGCTCTTCAACAACGTACTCTGCACCCCGGCCACCGCGTTCCGAATGTCCGCCTCACGATATCCCCTCCCATCCAGCACCGCATTCAGATTCTGTACTGCAGTGGACTGAAACACCTGACTCGCCACCACGAGGCAAATAACCGTCGCCCCGATCTGCGCCACGTTCTGTAAATTGATCGCGCTGAAGATATCCTCGGGAGGTACCTTGAGACTAGCTACCGCGTAGCCCAGCTGCATGGTCATGCCCGTACCAACGGCCATGAGAATCGTGAAGCCGTAGATCTGTCCCGCAGGGGTAGAAGGAGAGAGATATCCGACAAAGAGGGCGCTAGCGAGGGTAAGGAGGATGCCCGAGATGAGACACAGCGGCATGTAGTATCTGGCCTTTGGGAGGAGCCAGCCGATGGCGAGGTTGATGGTGATGGTCACGAGGAGGTACGGGAGGAGGCGAACAGCTGCCATTAAGGAAGAGTCGTTGCGGGTGAATTGGAAGTAGATTGGGATGTAGAAGGTTGTGAAGAACATGGCGGTGTTGGCGCAGGTCGTTGTGAAGTAGAGGAGAATTTGGGTGCGGGAGCGGAGGAGGTGACCGGGGAAGGAGCGGGTTTGGGGTGTTGTAAAGATGCAGAAGTATTGCTGCAATGCATAGAGGATGAAGAGGACTCCGAAGAGAACTATTAGGGCAATGGCTGCGCCAGAATCCCACGCCCAGATGCCCCCAGCGGAGATGAAGCCAAGTGCGAAGGTCACCCACATTGCGGCGCTGAGAACGAAGCCCAGGTAGTCGAGACGTGTTAAGCGTTTGCGAAGGGATTGGTCGGCGCCGGGGTGAATGGCTGGGAGGTACAAGAGGTATACCGGGGCCGTGATGGCGCCGATGACCAGGTTCAGGTAGAAGCCCCAGCGCCAGGTGGCGGAAGAGTCGGAGAATCCGCCTCCCACAACGGGACCGAGGATGGCGCCTACGCCCCAGACAAAACCGGTCCCCGTGAGGTATGTACCGCGTTCTTTGCGAGTGGTCATGGCGGATAAATGGTTGAGTCCACCGAGGTAGATGCCTGTACCTCCAGCACCTGCAATTACACGACCGACGATGAGGGCGTTCATGGTCGGAGCGCCGCCACAGAGAGCGGAACCACCCTGGAACAGCACGATACCGGCAATGTAAAGCCACTTCATGTTCATGACAGTGTAGAGAAACCCGTAGGGGAGAATCACGGCAACTGAGCCGAGCGGAAAGCCGGCTCCAATCCAGGCGAGTTGCGACACATCACCGAATCTCTCAATCACGGCGCCTTGTACATCCGCAGCGATGGTTGTGTCAAGACCATACATCAAAGCAGAGAGGTATAAGGCAGCACAGATCAGAAACCAGCGAAATCCGGTGATTTCGCGGACATCGTCTTCGGTGGCATTGGCGTCGCCGTGCGGACCTTTCTCGTCGGATTCTTCGCGATGACGGAGAGAACTATCCATGGTGGAGCTTTGGTTCCGGATTCAAGAAAGTGGGTGCGCGGCAGCTTTGATAATAGCGGAACCGAGAGTTTATAGTACATGGTTGAGAGGACTGAGCGACTGGGGGAAATGGCACGTTTGTATAGCGTCGAGCCAGGGTAGATCATACATTTGCATCTCCTTATGTCCGTTAGGACCGGCGCACCACGTCGTGAATTTACCACGACAGGGATATTGCAGGACACATGGTTTCTACAAATTGAGCTTTACTGTTGCTACGATGGCGGGATTAGGAGTTTAGCAAAGACTATCCCCGTGGGAGGCCGGGGGATCATCATACAACATCCATGTTTCGCTCACCCGAAATTCGTCGGCCGAAGATAGAACGCCCCACGCACTCACCCGACAAAGAGCATAGTGCATCCAAAACCACCCTAACCCATGACCATAGTAACTCCTGACTCAAACAAGCATATAAACGTTGTGGCATATTGTCGAATTCTGCCCAATGGCAATATGCAGATCACTGACGCGCCTGAAGGAGTCGCGTTCAGGTGCAGCTTTCGGACGGCATTCTTTATAGTTACCGGGATAGCAGCATGCTTATAAGCTTAACTAAATCTTTAATGGGGTGTAGAATAAGATGTCAGGAGGTAAGAGCAAAAGAGATGATGTAGTGAACAAACATACATCAAGAGGGCGAGACAGTACCCGCTGGGTTGTTACTGGGCAATAATCCAATGAAAAGGGTCTAGAGAAATAATTACTAAGATACTCTCTTCAGAATGATCGAAAATGAAAGTATCTATTGAATATCACCTAGGTGACATGTACGGCTTGGGCACAAAAACTTTTGACGGAGCCGAGGAATCCTACGAGTGTCACGAACATCAGCTTTGAAAGATTGTTTGGTCGCAGATCCACATATGCACCGCAGTGCTTACGATCCAGTCACTGCATGACTGACGATAATTCCAATCTAGTTGTGAAAGTCGCTATTCCAACATGTGGGGTCAAGAGAGGAAAATTGCAGCATTGAGTATGAGTCACCATGACCTATGGTGGACAACATGTCTGGCATCGACGTCAGAGCCCACTCCGCTGGAGGCATCCAGAGCCCAGAGCCACTGTCTACGTTGGGGAAGGTTGAAGATATACGCGGGGATAACGAGCTCTGGTTTGACTCAGTGGTGGTGTCTGCCTCTTGGAGTTGCTCAAGTCTGACAGCTTTCGCAAACAGCTGCGTCACAACCTGTGCTCCAGAGGCAGCCATCTCACTGACCTCAGCCAGCATCTGAAGTCGCCCCAAAGCCTTCTCAACTGCCCGCATCGTTCTCGCCCGAGTCAGGGTGGCCACTCTCAAACCGAGAATATCGGCATGACTCTCGCCTTGATCAAAGGGGAAGTCTCTATGTGTACAAAGTACCAGAAGAACAACTGCGGCTTCGAACGTGTTGAATATGATGGCGCTGAAACGCGTGTAGGAGCCTCCGAACATGGTATGCAGAGTGGTGACAGCATGTAGCTCCTCGAGAGCAGCTAGAGCCAGCCTGTGCTTTTGAGACTGGAGAAGAACTTGTTTATAAGGGGGTAGACTGGTGACTTGGCTGGGTTTCAGCAACAGTAGCGGGCGAAAGTTCCAACAAACGGAATCATAGATAGCGATGTAGAGCAGCTGTCTCTGCATGGGCAACTTAGGAAGTTGGACATCCCACCTCCGATCCGGATTGAGTGCAAATTCCGGGGGTAAGGTAGGGATATAGTCCGCACAGAATCGTTCATACCGCTCTTCGCCGTGAATAGGGTCATACGGTAGGTTCCGTTTGGAACCCAAGCTTTTCCAAAACATTCCCAACCGGACCTGCATGAGACGCTCGGTGAAAATTTCAGGTGTGTCCGCAGGCGTAGACAAGTCGATGATGTCCGGGGCGAGGCGTAATCGTGGTAACGTCTCTAAAACTAGGTTGTCGGGGAAAATTGGGACCCGGTCAAGCTGTCGGGCCAGATGGCTTGTCGATCCGCCAACGTCAGCGAAGGATTGTAGAGCCAAGAAGATAGCATACACACCTGTCCAGAACATACAGCCCGCATAGCGTTCTTCGGCGCATCTCCTTCTCTAGTACTTGAGAACTACCCTCCCCTGGCACAGGTGCGACCGTGTGAATACCTGCCTTCTGCGCTGCACTACAAGCAGAGGCAATGCCTTCCCAAAATTTATCAGTCCTCCCTTCACAGGAGAACTTGAGAGAGGCGAATAAAACGTGCTGAACTCGGACTAGAGATCCTTTCCAGTCCAAAGCCAGGCATGCTCTGGCAAGCTCATCACCAATGTCACTACAGGTGTTACGAACTTCCGAGAGTGGCTGCCCATGAATCCAATCAGAAGTGTGGGTCGGAGAAGGCAGGAAATGTGCCGAGTAGGCACCAATCCGAAGTATCAAAGCGGCAAATTCAATTTCCTCCACAGAAAGAGGCCGTTTCTTGGCCCACCATTGCTGATAGTGTGTCAGAAAGCTGGGTGGGTAAATGATTTGTTTCATCCTGTTCCGCGAAGCATTAGTCGACCTGGACCCGATATGGTTAGTAGCCACGGACTTACCAGTTCAAATCATCGACAAAATACTGCATCAGAAAATCCAATATCGGACGGGGAGGCATTCGATCAAAATATTCTTGAACTGTCTCCAGGACTGTAGTTGACATACCCTGGGTGTTCTCATCTTGGTCCCTGCTGTCAAGGTCCCACTAGGTCATTCAAAATTAGCCGTGCCTCTGGGGTAGATAGTCAAAGTGTTTATGTGCATCTCACCTTTTTGAGCAAAGCCATTGTATTAGAGTCACTGTGCTCGAAGTAGCCAAAGGACTTAGCCAGAGAAGAGTGTGGATTAGATGAGCCATTCTTCGCCTCGGACGGTGAAATCTCGGCAATTCCTTCTGGTAACTCAACACTAGCTGGTTCCCGGGGCTCTAGCTCTCTGATAGATTCCCGAGACGAAATGTTCGAGGGTTCGGCAATAGTAGACTGGTACACACACTCCTCTGGTCGTCGACGTCGGGTGCAATGATTGCAGGGGTACTGGCGGTTGCACTAGCTCCTCGCATTAGAACTTAATTTTAAGCTCTTCGGTGCTGCATCTTCGATGTTTACGCACTCTCTGTTTCCTAGTGTAGCAGGGCACGCAGGTGGTGACCCGACGCTTTCGGCCGATGGGATGCATAGCGGCTCTTCCCATCTTGTCGACACCTCAGCTGTCCGGGGAGAGTTTGAGTTGTCTTTCTTTCTAATAATATTCTCAGTGGAGTAATACGGAGAAGTAGCACATGGTGGAGTTGTTTCCCCGGTCTGGAGGTCCCGCTAACATTTGGAGTGACAGATTGTCATGTCAGCCTTTGTGGTCAGACGGCTACGGCGGGCATTAGTGGCCACTGGGCAAATACATGTTTTACGTATTTATTGTCGGCTGAACGTAATGAAGTCTGATGCGATTGGAAAAACCATTCAAATTTCATATTTAGGCAGATATAAGTGCTGCATGTAATGTTGAAGAATACAAGTTATATATGAATTTTTGTAATTCTTTTTTGGAAAAAAAAATAATTTCGATAAATAACTGGGTTGTAGGTGTGTGCTAGGAATCCAACATTACCCGCAGATGCTACGTGAGGAACCCATACATACATAGTATACTAAGACCTCAGCTTCCCAGACTTCCGCACACGATACCATATACCTATCATATAATTCAATCTCTTCCAAACTGGGGTACTATCTGTTACTCAGTTTATTATTAGGTAACCCCAATTGATTGCTACCGTCATACAAGTCGTCTAATGCTACTTCCAGAATTAGTAATATGTTAACCGAACTAATCATATAATTTCCAGGGGCGCGCCCTAGGTGCGCTTCTGCAAACGGAACCCCTGCTTTCCAGTTACACCACAAGATAAACATCTAGCAATCTGATGCACCAGGCTTATGTAGCTAGGCATCCCTTACAAGCTTGCTCCGAAAGTTCAGGGCCACACGGGGTCTCCCTTGGGGGATATCACATCTTTTTGTCTCTCTCTCTGACTTTTTCTTACTTCATTCTTCTCTTATCGCCCTTGAAGTAGTTTCTTAATCATAGCTTTATCTCATTTGATCATTCCTGGTTTTCTATCTTCTGCAATTCGGACTTGCTGTCGTCTTATCATTGAATTACGTACAAGTTACACGGAGTGATGCAGGCTTCTGAGTCGAGTGATACTGTATCTTATCCCTTGCAGATTTTAACGGAGTATGCTGGTTAGTATCTCCCATATTGGAGCTTGAAATTCCTGCATCTGTGGATGTATCAAACTTTTGGAACTATGTGCACATCGATCAATGCGGAAACGTCTTGATATACCCCCACCAGTAGTATTTGCAAACGAGCCTGCCTGTGTTATCATTGCGCCGTTCTACTAGCACGGAGCCGAACTCGGCTAAAGTTATCCTCGCTACAAGTCAGATTCCCTGTGCAGTCAGTACATGTTGGCCATATGAATGTTGAACACGAAATCCCCGGAGCTTTTCGGTGTGATCAAACAGGGAATCTCGTGTATCACGACATTAGACATACAGGATACAGGTGATGTACAAAAAGTCACGTCATATTTTCATTGAACCGGACTTAGTATGAGACTAATACAGGACCACATCTTTCCCCCTAAAATTGCAGCTTTCTGGGATATGAGAGTTATATAGGGGCCCTGTTGCCGTGGGCGAGGCTGCCTGATAGGTGAATACAGCAAGTCAATTGACAAATATAGCCACATTTGTATTATTTAATTTGAGAAAGAGGAACGACCTCTGTATTTGATGTTTCACCTTTTTGAAAGATATCTGTCCCATTTTTCTGGGTCTTATCCATTACTACCTATACTTCCTGTCAACCCATCATGGAAACTCCAAAATTGAATGAGTGCGAGCCGATTGCCATTGTTGGCATGGGTATTGAATGTCCCTGGATTTTTGAAATATTAAACCTTGCTGACTTCAG